ACATTAAACTCCCTGACCTGGGAATGACGATCAGAGTAGTGCTTCTGTCGTTCCTGCTTTTGCATTACCCTATCATTTAGACTTGGGTGTACCATACTTAATGGTGAATGTAACATTCTTCGGTTGAGTAGTTTTATCCTGTCTCTTATACACATCTAGATGTGTATAAGAGACAGATGTTGGATCAAGTGACCTTCAATGGATACAAAATTCCAACAAGGTATTTTCATGTATGCATCATCTTACTCCATTTTACCAAAGTATTTCTGTGATATTTGCAAACTCAATTCCTCTCTTCACAATTATTGCACTGGATGTAGATCTGATGTTTAGATTCCAAATCATAAGACAAATTATTTCCAACATAATATTAGATATATTGGAACTAAACTATGGAATTCCTTACCTCCCTCAGTTGCCGATGCCATTAATAAAGATCATTTTCAATCCAGCTAAAGAAACACCTTATATCTAGTTATTAAACTTAAGTAAATATTCTTCCTTTTTATCCTCTTACTTTTCACTTTAATTGTGTTCGGTTTCTTGGTCTAATTTGAATTGTTTGCTTTCTTTTTTCGGTTGTGTCTTCTTTGCCCTGGGTTGTGTCTTCTTTGTCCTGGGTTGTGTCTTCTTTGTCCTGGGTTGTGCCTTCTTTGTCCTGGGTTGTGTCTTCTTTGTCCTGGGTTGTGTTTTCTTTGTCCTGGGTTGTGTCTTCTTTGTCCTGGGTTGTGTCTTCTTTGCCCTGGGTTGTGTCTTCTTTGTCCTGAGTTGTGTCCTCTTTCTTTGTGCTTGTTTTTGTGTCCCCTTGTCGTATTGTTTCAGGCTGACCATCCACAAGAGTTTTTATCTTACTGGGTCTATGCATTTCCCTTTTGCACAAATTGTTTTGATTTTTTATTCTAAAATTGCTTGTATTTAAAATGGATAAGAAATCAAATAAATGTTACTTTGAATTGAATTGAAAACGTAAAGAGACAACACCAGTGACGCTTGGTAGTAGGGAAATGCATGGTTTCATTGCAGTGTTTCTGTTGTAAGGCACATGGTTTTGTTGAATAATTTTGGTTGGAATACCAGTAAATTATACCAAATTGATTGGAAATTAAACTTGAGAATATTGCTAATGACCAAAAAGATAGTGGTCCCAAATATTGAGATATTCGTGAAATGTCAGTCTAGGCCCCTGCATATCTACTACCTGCTCATGTATGCAGGAGTTTTTGATCCACAAACTGTAAGTGGGACAATCTATATTTCTGGGTTAGTTCAAAGTTCAATCAAGAATCATTTATATTTAAAAGCCTAAAATGCAAGAGAATGCTGGAATAACATAAACACTATTTTGAACAATCGTAATTGCCTTTCCTTGTTTTCATAACCACAACATAACCCTATACTTTCACACTGATCACAGTGCAAGTTAAACCCACTATACATCACAAGACAACTAATGTTTCTTAGTCACCAATTGTGTCTATTATGCAACCGTTGAAACAGATACGGTGAGGTATGTACAGGTATGTGTATGTATCGGAGACTTGCACACAATATGCATTTTATCTTTTTCAGGAACAGCCTGAGTAGCACAATAATGGTAAATTACAGAGCAGCCAATCTAGTAGGTGTGGACAAACTTCCCTTTACACTTAAATAACTTACCTAAGTGGTTTGCTTGAAAGACTACCTAGCTCCCTTTTCAACTCTGCCTCAATAATTTGCCTCTAGATGTCTTTCTGAGTTGTAGCATCACATCTTAGCTCATCCTTTAGTTGAATATGTGACTGGTATTATTTAAAGTCAAGTACTGTAAAGAAAGGAAGAAATCAATGTGATTGCACAATAATTAAGCCACAGTAAACTCACACTTTCAAATAAATACTTAAATTAATACTCGAATAACATCAGTGTTGCCCAAATTGACCTAACATCTCACGAACTGACTGACCATAATTCCAAAACATCAATTTGCTTGGGTAAAAAATGAGTCAAGTTGAATGGTTTGATGGTGAAGCTGCTTGCCTTCTAATTCTAATTTATTCATAATTTTTTTTCTCATGACTTAAAAAAGCTAAGAATCATTCATCGTGTAACAAATCATGGTCAAGGTCAAATCAAGAAAAATGGAAGTCAGACTTTTAAAGTACTACGAAACTTCAGTAGTTCTACAGAATTTTTGCCTAATTACGGATGTACAGAAATGGACAAAAATACTACAGAAATTTATCGCAGGCCTGCAGTAGACCCATAAATAAATAGGTCTGAAGTCCAGAGCAAATGCTTTTCCCATCAGGATCTTTGGTAATGTCCCTAGAAAACTCATACCTGTCAGATTACTGATAAATTATTGTGAAAACTTAGAAGTGGCCTGTAATACCCGATTCACACGTACAAAAATCTTACCAAATGTAACAAAATGTAACCAAAAGTAACATTTTACGGCACGTGTGAAAGTACCTCCGTGTAATATCCTTGTAAAATCTCGGAACGTCTCGGTA